ATCAACGCGGCCCCAGTGGAGAAAGATGAGGGAAGACAACTGCCGCCTTGAGAGCAGCCGGCGTCGAATGATCAAAGTAGTTATCTTAGCGCCGGCAAACTCATAGAAGTAATAATAGGGCCCTTCGTTAGATTGAAGGCGAGACAGGAAATATGCACTTTATAGCAGTGTGGAATTTAATTCAAATATAAAGGATCAGCTTCTCGTCTGCAACGCTCCTGAAACAATAGTATAAGAATATATTTAGTATAAGAATATATATAAGATAAGTATAAGAATATATAAGAATATATATTTATTTAGCATTTTATAAGAATATATTTGTAATAGTGCATCTTTCAAGGTTCTTACATAATATTTAAACTTCTTTTTCTCTGACCTTTAAAGTAATTTTTGATTATAATTTGTTTATAATGTTTAATTGTAAGTCGAAATAATGTGTTTGATATGTATCTTTATAGACAAATTTATATTATTTTTGTATATCTTGTTACAGTTTTTTTTATTATAACGATAAATATACATTCAAGTTTATTTAAGCATTTATTCGACGACCGCACAAATACCCTTTCATCCTATCTAACATTTTAATCTGTAAAACACCAATAAAATACAGTATTAAAGTGAGTACATTCATTGTAAGTCCGGCACACCATTAAACATTCACCACTGGGCGATAAAATGAATGATTGAAAGGTTAAGAACCACCTTTGGAGGTGCAGGCTAACGTCGACTATAATCCGTTTCACATAGCATGGGTACGGTGACGCTTGTTAACAAATGCATTTCACGCAATTCGTATTTCCAAATAATTAAAAACCATTGTTATAAAAATAGTTTGACTGTGTGTATATTAGATACTAGTGGTCGCCGGCGACTTCGTTTTCCATTATTTCTTTGCTCCTAATAGTTGCAGCGTGATGTTATATAGCCTAAAGCCTTCCTCGATAAATGGTCTATTCAACACAAAAAGATATTTTCAATTTGAACCAGTAGTTCCTGAGATTAGCGCGTTCAAACAAACAAACATACTCTTCAGCTTTATAATATTAGTATAGATTTATTTAAAGTTGCATATTGAAACACAAATAAATTTTTAATAGCCACAATTACTAAAATCTAACCCTCTTAAGTTTAAAACATCAATACTTGTAACCAGTAATGGAATTTTACAATTATTGTTATTGTAACAATCACAGAACATAGAGAGAGATTAGAAGTATAATGATATTAATTTAGTATGGGAACCGAGTGTCGCCTCTCCGCACACAAATACAGATTAAATGAAATGATCATTTTGTTCACTACATGAAAAACCGCCACGCGATAGGTTCGCGATAACATAAATCAAATCCCAAAAAGATACTAAGCTAAGAAATCACACGATTAAAAACAAACTCTAATTCAACGTGATAATAAATAATTTACTTTAACATGAATGTTGAACTGTCACGTGGCTGTATATGGGGATACCAGAAGGAAAAAAATATTTTAAGATTATGCACATTTAAAAAAATTGGGGTCATCATTTTATGTGCGAACTATTAATATTAGATTTTGCTGTAACCAAGTGAATAATGAAAAATTAAGGATTTCCCTACATAATTTATTAAAATATCTTTTAAAAAACGCAGTACAAAAACTAAGAAAACTTAATGATACACTCTATCGTATGTCTGTGGAGTAATATAATTAAGCGAGGGAAAGTGTAAAAAAAACAAAAATTAAGAAAACGACAGAATTTTTGTATTAATTACATTAAGCCTAATTTGTATTTTTTTCTTACTGGTATCATTCCGATTGTGCATATTAGTGATGTGACATATTAGTTGATAAAATAAGAGCTTTAAATTTTGTCATGAAACAGTTCAATGTAATTCAGTTCGACAATTTTCTACAGTGGTTTGATAGTAATTATTTAAAGCTTTATTCAAATAAAACGAAATACATAAAGTTTGCATTACCTAATGTGAGGCATGTTAATATACTTATAAATGTAAATAGTGAAAAAGTTGAGATGGTGGAATCGACAAAGTTCCTTGGTATTTTGGTATATTGATAATTTGTCAAGTAGACTGAGTTCTGCAGCATTTGCTGTTAAGAAAATTAGACTCTTAACAAATGTTGAAACGGCAAGATTGGTATATTTTAGTTATTTTCATAGTGTAATGAATGACGTATAATCTATTGTTATGGGGTTCTGTGGCTAGCATTCAAGATATTTTTATTCTACAAAAGAGAGCTGTCCACGCTATATATAATTTACGGTCTAGAGAATCTCTCAGAGAAATATTTAAAGAAATAAATATTTTGACTGTTGCCTCTCAATAGATCAATGAAAATATTATGTACGCAAGAAAACATTACGATTCCTTCACAAAAAAAGTAGAAATAAAAATAAACTTGCCATTCCAAGTGCTTGTAATAGCCTTCTTGAATAAAGATATTTTCATTTCATTTCATATTTCAAATATGAATCAGCATAATAAGGTAAATTAAATTGACGCCTAAAAATTAATTTTGTAAATTAAATTCACACCACCAACAATATTACGTTAGTTGAAAACATATTTTTTTGTTTGTATAGATATTATGTTGTTTTGAAATTCATTTGATAGGTTTAGGTCTAAAACAGATAGGGCAAAATTAATTATGTAAACAAGGCAATCCGTTGTAAAGTTATTAGGGAAACTGAAATATAAGTAATGCAAAATAAGTGAAATCCAGTTTCACCAGTTTCTAACAAGACCTATTAGGCCAACTCTTAGCTTTTCACGAAGTTTCGTTTAATTTATGTATTGTTCATAAAACGGTGATATACTTCGTAACTTAGATATTTATAGCACATCAGTAATTTTTAATATTTATCTGCGTGTAAATAATTAACCGAATCTTCGTAAAAAAAGTGCCCGGACAGTTCATTATTTCATTTGTTCAGTATCAGTTCATCTATAATTTTCCCTTGTAAACAGTATTTTTTAGTTTTATATAATTATGGCATATATTTATCGATAACGTTGTCATGAAATGATGAAAGAAAAGCTCTAAATAAATATGTTTTAGTTATCGATTACGATCCATATAATTAACAATACGATTCCAAGCAGCAGCAGCCTATCGGTACATTTCAGACAAATGGAGGCACAGCACTATTTTTTGCAAAAGTGCACAAAATGATTTACATTGCTGTTTAGTAATGGGGTCAGAAACATTGATGTTGGTTTGAGCAATCAATGTATATTTTATTTAACATTGTGTCAAATTATTACGTTTTTTATATTTTAGCACTAAAATTGTACTTACCAGTGAAAGGAAATGTTTGCATTAGTTAGATTGAATACTTTGCTTTGCTTTTTGCAAGTGATAATAGCACAAAACGGCATTTTTTATAGAAAAAATCTGTAAAATCACCACTCGACGATTGACGAACGACTGGCAAACATAAAACCGAGGAAAGGGCGTCATATGAGTAAAAGCGCATATGCCAGCGACGCGTGCCCCGCCCACTTACTACTTCTATTCTCTCTCTATGTTCTGTGGTAACAATTAAACTTAACTATAATGAACTTTTATATTTTACTGACTCGGGTTCATATTGTTGATGAATAAATATTTTTGTTAAACATTGTTTTATATATTGACCTCAAATCAACTGAATAATATCGAGTTTATATTTATTTCCACACCCGTAGAAACTTCAAATCCCATACGTCACCGTACCCGTGTTATGTGAAAAAGACTATATACAGTAGAGTATATCAGACCTGATGGTCGTTGATGAGATAGAGCGGCAGCGACTCGGTGCAGAACTCGCACGGTATGAGTGGCAGATCGGCGGGGTACAGGCCGGGGTCGGGGTCGGGCTGCAGCACGGGCAGCGGGGGCAGAAGCCGGCGCACGCGGGCCAAATCCGGCCGGCAACCGGTCTGTACCGACAGACAGGTGCGACATATAAACGCTTATTCAACAACCATACATAATAACTCCCGTAAATAGGGATGATGACTAATTTTTGTTTTGTTTGTCCGTCAGATAGAGTGTTAAAAAATATTAAACACGTATTTTTTTTTGTAATCATAAAATTACGGCGTTACATGGAGTTGAAATTACGCATGACGTCACGTTACGTTACGTTTTCTACTAAACTGTGACGTAGCGAGCCCCCACTCCTCAACTTTAATGCCTGTTATCTAAGCTATTTCTTGTTAAATTGAAGAAAAAAAATATACGTATCTAATATTTTTCTATTATCTGACTGACGGACTAAATAGAATTGCATTTTTTTTACCCAGTCGTCATTCCTATTGCTTATGCTCTGGAACCTTGTATAATAACACCCGTGTGACGTTATTTGAAAATACAAGTGTTATACCTGATGTATAACTCGGTGGCGTAGCGTAGCGCCGCGGTCCACGATCGTTATTGTTTATCAACTTTCCCAAGAGACGGACACGGGATGGGTGACCCAAAAATTATCCTGAGCTACTCTGCAGACGTGCATTCCGTGCTTCGGAATGCACGTCAAACCATTGACCTCGGCTGCATCTGCAGTCGTCAATGCCCTTCAATAGGCATTGAGCCAGCGTAGAGGGTCATGGCCCATCCTCTAACCATTCATAAGGAAGGCCTGCGCACCTGCTGTGGGAACATATAAGGGCTGATGATGATGATACCTGATGCAGCACCAGCTCATGTGATGGTTGTAGTCGGCCGCAAAACTCGCAAGGCAGCTGCACGTCACCCTCATCCTCCTCGCATCCTAACTCATCCCTTCCACGATCGTCCCTACGTGAGCGGTGCCTATCACTATAAACGTAAATATATTATTAAATTTTTTGTGGCTTATTTAAATAAAAACAAAAACACTGACGAGCCCTTTTTCAAAGTAGAATACCCTACTCTTCTCTGTGTGTCGTCATCTTATCATTCAGATTTTCCTTACACAGCTTAGTTATCTTGTTTGTGATCTTCTCTTTTTTTTTATATCCCTCGTTTTTATTCATACAAAACTTGTCAGGTTACTTACTAAAATCCAAGACACGAAGAAACAAAAAAACAACATTAATTCATTAAATATAAATAAAGAAACCTATAGTAACCACAAAGTAAGTCAGGCAATCTGATATTGTGTCAGAATAATATAATACATTGAATAATCACAGTATCCAATGTTAAAATATGTCAATTAAGTTATCTTCTTAGTCTAGTCATACCATCCATGTCACCTTAAATCCAAAACCTGGCATGAAAACTGTCAAACTATGTGCGAACATGTCAAACGAGCGATGACAGACTACAGTTTTCAACACTATCACGCCTTTATTCATTAATATCATCCCATCTCATATGTCCGTACCAGACCAGGCTTTCCTTTCAGTTGTTACTAGTGCTACTTTCAAACATCCACTTTTATTGATATCCATATCATGAAATATAAACTGATATTTAGTAACATTTACCACATTAAAATTTAATTGAAAATTACTTTAGGTTTAACACTTACTTATCACCGGCGTTCATGTTATATGGAGCAGTGACCTGTAACAAATAATATTATAATAATGAATACACAAAAATAATCGCAAAAAGAGTCTTAAACAAAGAGTTAAAATAACCTCAATAGATCTTCTCGTTAGTTTAGGTGTAAGTAAATATTATTTGTATTTTATTGAGTTCATTTTGGAGATAAGGTCGACTTTCGTATGCTCATGTAATGAACCTTCGTTAATGGGAGGCCGACTGTCAAAATGGCAAAAGACATAAAAACGCGATAAGAAAGAAAACAACAATCTCGTTTCTTAGTCGACAAAACAGTTCCTTCAACGCCATTTCGTTGTTTTGAGAACATTATTGCTTAACTTATAACCAGAGGTCGGAATTAGGTAGAGTTATTTATGTACTTGCATCGAAATGTTGATATTAATGTGGACCTTCCCGGGATTTCTTTATTTCTTTCTTTCATTGATGTAAGATTGGCAACGTCGTGCGTGCAGTAGTTTAAATTGTGTAAAAGTAAATAACTTTTTATTTAAAAAATCACGGGATTTTTTCTGCTCTTTAAAATTAATCTCGGGATTTGAGGCATATCCACTTTATTCTTTCGCTATATGAAATCAGTGTAAGTACATGAATAACTCTACCTAATTCCGACCGCTGCTTATAACTATAGCTCTAATGATACATGTTATAATTGAAAAGCTTTGATTTTAATAATCGAATATATTATAATCGAATAGCCAATTTGACTGAGCTATACGAAGACAGAAGTTACATTTCACCGACCGAACATTTGATTTTGTGAGAAGTCAAAAAAGGGTAACACTAACCTCATTCAGTCCTCTTCTCAATTCACGCAACGATGACTTGATTTCACTGAATCTGTCTCCGTGAGAGCGTCGATCACCTCTCCCGTTGGCTCTCTCGTTCCCATTAGCGCCTCTCGCGTTCCTGCTAGCCCTCGAGTCGGCCCCATTAGACCCTCTTTCGTTCCTATTAACCCTCGAGCTAGCCCCATTTGCCCCTCTCTCGTTGCCACTAGCGTCTGAGCCGAGCCGAAGGGCGTTGAGCCGCCTTTGAAATTGTTCTGGACTCATCGGCCTCAGGTTCCTTATTTCTTCCCTGTTCCATCTTTCATTAGCTTCGTTATTGACCTATTATATAACGAATTTAAAAATATAAAGTAATAAACACAAATGCATGGAATTAATAAACTTCGCTTTGTTCTACACTGAGCATGACAACTACTACGCTATGTATATCATGTGCTGCAGACATTATTACATATTATAATTTATATATGTAGTATTACAACGCTACTATTCTTCTTATATCCTATTACATTATCTAAAGGTATGAGTGTTTACTTTCATAATTTCTAGTTTACATACACGATTAGATGTTTTCTAACAACTTCCTTTATTTCCTTAGCATTAAGTATAGCCTATATCACCCGCATATGATTTAGCCACATTTACCCTCATGACAGAATTTTTAAAATCGGTGTAGTAGTTTCGAACCTTATTCGATGCAAACAATCACATTTTTCAACATCATAATATTACTATAGATAACTTTATCAAGTTAGCTTTGAAACAGAGAGGGGGGAGAAAGAGAGAGGGTGGAGGAGAAAGGGAGAGAGGGAGGAGAGAGAGAGAGACTCAAGAAGTTTAATAATTGAAATCAATATTATTTCTGCTCAGTCGTAATTTTTAAAATAATCGATAAATTTTAAGAGAGGAAATCTGGACCTGAAAAGCATTAGGTCGGATGTCGGGAATCTTAGGCATAACTGTATAAAAACAGAAATAGCTAAATGCAATCAAAATATTTGAAAAAGTCGTCTGATCCGACTTTATGCATGACTGTTGCTCATGAGTAAAAAGGCACAAACATACAAGAGTTAATTTGCCGGAAAGAGAAAAAAGAGTGTAGCAACGTTATGGCGATAAGTGATTTTAGCTGGTTCTGCACATCCGACCTAATGCTTTTCAGGTCCAGAAATATACCCTTGTTTTTTTTTTTTTTGCATTGATACTACTCTGTAACTGCTAGACGGATTTGTAAAATTATGCCACGTTATATGCGGGTAACATGGGCTATTATTACGCAAGCGAAGCCGCGGGAATACATCTAGAATAATTACCCCTCTGTTGTTACGGCTGTTGCTTGGCCCGGGTTCATCACCGTGTTGGAGTCGATCCATTTTACGAAGCTTCTCCAATTTTTCTAAAGGATTCAGCACTGGAGGTAGACCTACCATACAAAACGTACTACCGTTACTCGGACCATTAGGATCGAACATCACCATTGAGTTACGATTATGAATACACAGTGATTATTGCTGAGTCAATGACGTCGACGCCGGTATCAGGTTAGTCAACATACCTAAGCAAGATGCGATTGACTACACTATCTCTAAATATATCAAGTTACCGTACAAACGATCTAGCAATATGTTCTTAAAAGCATAAAGATAGCGAGCTAGCTGAATTGTAGTGCAGTTATGTATGTCACATATAATGTGACAAGATGTAGTGCAGTGTGTTATGTGTGTAATATAAAATGTAACAAGATTTAGTACATGCGTTATGAATGTAACATAGTGTGACAAGTTGGAGTGCAGTGTCTTACTTGTGTGTTTTACATAAAATGTAACTAGGTTTAGTGCAATGTATTACGTATGTAAGATACAGTGTGACAAGTTGTAGCGCAGTGCGTTACGCATGTAAAATACAGTGCGACAAGTTGTAGTGCAGTGCGTTACGCATATAAGATAGTGTGACAAGATCTTATGCAGTGCGTTGTATGTATCAAAATTGTATTGCAGTTTGTAATGTATACGACGAACCGCGTGCCAGATTGTATGCGGTCTGTTCTCGTCTGTCTTTCTCTTCGTCTTGTTGTCTTCTCATGGCGCTGTAGTAGGGCTGATCACGGCGGTGCTCCGGCGTCAATTGAGGGGGCGGCGGCGCCGGACGCTTCTTGTGGAACCTAAAATCAAAACTCTATTCAAATCGGTAACATTAATACAACTATGGTATCTCATATTATATATTTCTATTTTATCTATATAGTTTTATTCAAAATAAATTAATATATTTACATTTACAAAAACGATAAAAAACTTATACTAAAACATAGGTAATAAACTAGTTTATAAGTTTTAGTGTAAGTTTTAATATTAATCAAAACAATAATATTTACGATATATATATTTTAGTACATTAAAAAATAATACAAACTATTATCAGACCTAAGCTATAAAACACATAGCATTAACCATTGCTTACGAGATGTACTAGCTACTTAATGCCATCCTATTGTTCGCTTGTTTTTTGTAACAATAGCGATGTCCAGTGGCGTAGCGTGCCTTGGCGGGGCCCCGTATAAAATGTTGTTTGGGGCCCTTATGAAGGGTACAGATTTCTCACAAAAGGAAAATAAACGTTTGATTTAATGATTATTATTATAAACTATGCGAATCTTAATCGTATGTACATCGATTATTATGAGATTCTCCCGTTGAAGTAAATGACTTAAACAAAGAAAGAAATCTCCGATTCAAGAAAGAAATCCTCGTAATTGTATATAACGTGTATAATACTAAAACAATAAGGATCCTTTAGCAATGAAGTTAGAAATTATTTCCTTTCCACATCTTAAAACTATTTTCTTTTTTAGTTTTCACTATAAAACTGTTTCATTCATTTCTTATGTATACATTCCTTTTATTTATTATAATATATTAACGCTATTTATTTATTTATCCTTCTCAATATTGCACCCACTACTGTGAACAATGTATCATCTTGAGTGCAATAAAGTATTTTTATTTTATTATAAAATTTTGTCTTTAGTATTATAAAGATTTATGTTACATTGTAATTCAAAGTAATCATATGACGAATATATTCAATAAAGCAATAAACTTCAAATCAATATTTAATTTTAAAATACTCGGTAATACAGTGAAATGGTAAACCAAATAATTCAGCCGAATATCCAGTTCAGCGAAGGTTAAACCGAATAATATTCGGTATTCAGTTATTCGATAAAACTACTATTCGGCACATCTCTACTATAGATATGTCTATAAAAGAAGTAACAACATATTGTTATTGTTTAAAACTTACATTTTCTTCAGCGAATTCATTGAGCTATCTGAAGTATTAATGTTTATCTGAGGCTGATCGTTGGTCCTCTTTGGAAGTTTATGACCGATCTTGTTCGCTTCTTCTAAGATAGCTCGCTGCCTCCAGATGAGTCTTGCTTCGTCCTGTTCATCTAATGCTTCTTTTCTCTTTTCCTCAGAATGGGTATTAGTATTTTTGTTACGGACAGATGCATTTGAGCTGAGTCCGTTGCTCGTTGAAGGTCCGTCTAATATTCCGTTTGACGCAGAACTACTATTGGTAGAACTAGAAGTTGGTTGATGGCTGGAGAAGTATCTAGCTGATGTGGAAGCAGTAGGAATGTTGGAGAGTTTCGGTGAACGTGTAGATTTTGCCGCATCCTTCTTTGGTGGTGCTGGATCTGTCAATAAAATCTTATTACAGATTTTTTGTCATGCTAAGGGCAGAGGGCTCTGTATACTTGACCAAAAAATCTAAACATTGCCGTGATAGTTTTTTTTCGTTTTATTTACTAACTACGGTTGGGTCATTATAATCGACTAAACAACAGCCTCGTATTGTTCCACCAGTGCATCTCGACGGCGTAGTGCTGAAACTGGTTGATAGTTTTAAGTACTGTCACAAGTGATCTAATTGTGATATAGAACGTGAGCGTAGGGCGTTGGCGGTGAAGGGCAATATGCTCGCCCGCAGGTTCGCTCGCTGTACGGCAGACTTTAAAATAAGTTTATTTAAAGCGTTCTGTCAGTCTTTTTATACGAGCGGCTTGTGGGTGTTATATCTATACGCGCCGAGCCTACAATGTCCTGAGAGTACAGTACAACAACACTTTCAGGATATTGTTGCGGTTGCCGCGGCGTTGTAGTGCTTCGAAAATGTTTGCAAAGGCTTATACAGATGGCTTTATGCGCAAGAAAGCGGCTTCGTTACAGCAACGCTTGCGTAACAGTCGGAACTGCATCCTGACAGCGATTGCTGAACGACCAGACTGCCCAATACAAAGACATTGGGTGGAGCTGGCCTTAGGTCTAAGATGTTAATTTACTAACAGTACTAACATAGAATAAAATCTTATTATTATTATTATTATAATAGGCCAGATTTGACATATCTCAGTCTCAACTTCAAAGTAACATTGTAATATAGTAAACATATTAATATATATTATTTCATTCGACATTTCTTTCAAAACCATATCGATTCATATAATTAATCGAACATGTTAAGAAAGCAGCCTCACTATCAAGTTCCGATTGATAGATGTCAAATGTAACTTTTTATAATGATCCAACCGTAGCTGTTTTCCGGCGATTTCGCCGGTGTGAATTATAGCCTATGTCACCCGCGTATGACGTAGCTTTCTGTAGGCGAAACAATTTAAAAAATCTCTCCAGTAGTTTCGGAATCTATTCAGAGTAAACAAACAATCAAATCGTTTTTCTTTATAATATTAGTTACCGTCGTCGAGACGTAGGAAGCCGTGGTTGGAGTCGAGATGTAGCTGCCGGTACTTGATCATGACCCACTCGCGACATTCGGGACACTGCTCGGTACGCACACCGCAGTAATTCTCGTGGGACGGCAGATCGCGACGGGGTAATTCTAACTCACAAAACCTAGACGATGATTAATAAAAACTTAAGTTACAAAGAAACACTTACTACTCGGGCAAATTAACACGACACCTGAAGTCGAGACTATCAAAATTTTCGTTACAGGACAAATAAAAAGACCCTCATATGTCATGTTAATTCGTACGAATTTTAATAAATTCAAATGTCTTACGTGCCTGGGACGGAATCCTGATAAAATATCAATTTAACATTGTGAATGCATTTACAGAATAGAAAGTTGTTCCGTCACTTGCGGCATTCGCCTGTAATGTCATATTATAGATTGTGCACTGTAATTATCAATTCACCTCCCTCACTGATGTAATGCTCGATTCTGTCACATTACATTCAAACGCACCATGTGTCAGAGTAACTAAGATACAAGGATAAAATAATAAGTATATATAGTATAATACAACATAATAACTAACGATACAAAGGGTAATGTCGATTGTCTGACAATTCCTGGCAGGCAATGACAAAACGTGAGGCTGGAATGGAAGCATCACAAGAGGAAAAAGAGGATTTCAGCAGATAATAAACGCAATTTCTTTTTAGAAGAAAATTAAGACATTTTATGTATTATTATAAAAATACGTGGCAAACCACCGCAAAGGAGTAGGAGAAGAACACTTGTAAGAAACATCCTTGATGGATGGGGAGATACTTGAGAGAATAATTGTTTTACAATTTTCTTACTTGCAGATCTGGATAGTGTGTGCACACGAGTCACGTATATGATCCTCCAAGTCCGTGCCGCACACCCGCTCCCCACATTTCTTACAAGGTACTGTCGAAAATACACGAATGCGTTAATGCTTGCATTTAGGGCTAAAGAGTATTTGAAGTTGGACTATTTAATATCAAACGTATAGAGCAAAACGAAATATAATATGGTACACATCATCTACGAGGGTCAAACTGAAAGTTCTTAGAACTGGCCACTTATAAACAATATAATAAAAAAATAATTCTAAAATTTGAAAATATAACTCTTTGCCAATATTACTGAGTATATATTTCATTCATTTGTCATTTGTTTTACGATTTGGCGGCAAATTGAAAATTGTCTGTGTCACGTCATCATGAATTTAACACGAGAAAATTTTCGTGCAATGATTTTTTATGACTTTCGATGTCATTTAAGTCAACAAGAAAGTTATGATAGACTACGATTGGCCTTTCACGATGAAGCCCCATCTCGTGCGACTGTTTACAACTGGTTTAATGAGTTTAAACGTGGTCGCACTAATCTCACTGATGATTTACGTGAGGGACGGCCTTCTACGGCGACGACTGAAGATAACATCTGTGTTGTGCGGCGTATGATAGAGACTGACAAAAGAGTGACCTATCAACAGATTCGGACAAGCTTAGGCATCGGTATGAGTCAAGTGCACAAAATCCTCCACGAACATTTAGCGGTCAGGAAGCTTTGCGCCCGGTGGATACCTCATAATTTGACTGAGGCTCAAAAACTCCATCGTGTGGATTGGTGTCGTAAAATGATTGAAAGATTTAACGGAGGTGACTCAAATGCTGTGTTCGACATACTAACAGGTGACGAAAGCTGGATTTACTGTTATGATCCTAAAACCAAAAGACAATCTGCTCAGTGGGTGTTTCCTTTCGAGGAGTTGCCAACTAAAGTGAAGAGAGATCGAAGTGCGGGAAAAAAAATGGTGGCCTCGTTCTTTGGAAGGATAGGTCATTTTGCAACAATTGTGTTAGAGGATCAAAAAACAGTTTCTGCAGAATGGTACACTACCAATTGTTTGCCACTTGTCTTGGAAAAAGTTCGAGAGAAACGACCTCGCAGTAGGATCCTCCTTCACCACGACAACGCCTCGTCGCACACCGCCAAGCGAACGATCGACTATTTGGCGACATCAAACGTTGAATTACTGGGTCACCCGCCGTATAGCCCCGACCTCGCGCCTTGTGATTTTTATTTATTTCCAAAAATTAAAGAAAAACTTAAAGGAAAGCGGTTTATGAATGCTGAAGAAGCGGTGGCTGCGTATCGCGATGCCATTGAAGAGACCCCTAAGGACGAGTGGGCAAAGTGCTTTTCCCAGTGGTTCCATCGCATGCAGCGGTGTATTGACGTGAATGGACAATATTTTGAAAAGATATAATAAAACTAATAACTGGCTAATGTAATCAGTTTTTGATTTTCTAAGAACTTTCAGTTTGACCCTCGTATTAAGTTTATCGCAAGACCCTTATTCCAGCTGCACGAGGAATACGACAATCGTAAGCACATTCTGAGGCTATGAACGTCAAATAATTTTCACAGGGCCTATTTCTGGATGGGTAACCGTTTTTACATTTGATTACGTAAAACTGTTAATCCTGGCTGCAACTTTTGCAACCGATAAAGCAGTGAGCTCTCGTTGTAATTGAATGTTATAGATGCAGTTTTAGTTCCCACATGTGTAGTTGTGTTTCGATGTACAGTGTGTTTCGTTCCTTCGTGCAGTGTCTACAGGCCATAAACCAACACGCGAGTCCAGTGCGGATTAGTGGGTGTTAAAGACCGGGACCAACGGCTTAACGTGTCTTCTGAAGCACGGAGAAGCTCGAGATAATGAATATTTGGCCACCCATGCTATGACCGGCTCTTGTGAAAGTTACTTAACCTTCGCTTCGCAGTCCGAACGCACTAACTACTACGCTACTGAGCTCGTAATAAGATACGATAATAGTAAAAAATAATATGATCACAATAATAAAGTAAATATACACGGCAGAATAAATCTGCTAGATGGATTTCGAGAACTGCAGTACAATTCTGTAAAACAGCACTGTGCTGGACGTCGAGTTGAAGTTTAAGTTTATTGCAGGAAAGCGTAGCAGGTAGCAGGTAAAAGGGTCTTGCTGATGCAACTTCGCCAATGCCTAGATTTTTCCACGCGACGCCACTAATGCATTTAATAGGATGATATTATACTGGCTACTCTAATGAACTTATGGATGAGGAAAAATTTAGTAAAACTGCCATGCAAACACGTATTTAACTACAAATTTATTCGCTCAAGCGTCATGTTAAATCATTGTTAAGTATATTAGGTGCACGCAAGCCGTGTATGTATATTAATAATAAACACATTTGTCTACAAATGATAGATTTGACACCAAATAACAAACAAAATAATACTCCGATTTAAATTTAGAAAAATGCTGACATTAAAAAGTGGATGATGTTGAAAAACAAAATAATGTTGATGATAATAATGTATGAGCAAGGTTCTTAACGACTAGTCATAATTTTCCGTAACTTTCATCAATCATAAAATAGAAAGAAGCAAATAAAGCAAAATAGAAAATATTTTTAACACTAGACAAAAGTTATTTCTTCTGGTGACGGAATCGAAAAAATTACGACACAGTTCTCCAGTACTTTATTTTCAAATAACAATTCCATCTTTTTTCTTAATTATTAGACATTCACTTAGAGGCGTTTACTTTGAAATTTAATGTCAAACAGTACCCTCGGCTTTGATTACGTTTTCGGAAAAAACTTCGGTTTCGAGCAGTGCCGGATTAGCTATGTAGCAAAAGTAGCAAATGCTACGGGCCCCGCTCGAATGGGAGCCTCGCTATGGTCTAACCAATAAATTATTTTTTAAACTCAGTGTTAAAAAATTTAAGAAATAAAATAAGCTTTTGCCTTTACTTCTATTTTTAAGCATACCTAACCATAAACTGACATATAAAACTCAAGTCACAGATTAGTTGTGATGTGTTAAGGCTCCCCCACTAAGGCGCGTTATTATAGGTCGATAATATTGGAGGCGTTACTGCGATATCTGTTTTCAGTACATTTTATATTAGGATGGTCATGCAGTTACACACTGCTGCGATAATAACGCCGCAAGAATAGGTTTCTCCCTCTTGCGATATTCCGATATGAGTTCTAGAATGTTTTGTATCAGGACGCAAACGACCGTACACACACCTGCGATAATAACGTTAGTACTTGTAGGACGATAAAAACGCAGCTGTGTGCGAGGAATGTAAGGAATCGGGACGCATTTACGCAATACCGCATGCGATATTATCGACCTATAATAACGCGCCTGTGTGATGGGAGTCTTTATTCGGAAAGCAAAGGACGACTTTTATGTTTCCTTTGCAAAGTTACCGATTCCGATTATTCGTCATCGTCACCACGAAAGATATATTAGGTGATTGGAAGAATGCCCATAATTTTTGAAAAGCCATACACCGTAAATTATCATTATTTTGTTGTTAAACATCAAAAACAATGAGGCGCTTGTTCATACTCACACTGTAAGCTATATTGACAGTTGTATTGACGGCTAGGTACCTTTATAATGAAATGTTACAAATCAAAGAAAGTGTGTTTGTAAGAATTTTGTTTTAGTTCAATTATACACTTAATTCAAAATTTCACAAAATCTTAAGCAAATTAAGGGGGGTTTGGCTCTAAACATTTGCTGCAGGCCCCGCTCTGGCTTAATCCGGCACTGGAACCGAGTGCGCCGTGCCCGTACACCCATCGCTATCACCTATTCCACATCTTAACTTATTTTTAATATATTTTTAACTTATTTTTTATGCCCAGAGTTCTTTTTTGTTGAAAAAAATATTTTGGTGGCAAATCTACTATTCTGATTGTCAGCTGATATGTATTATTGTATATTTTACGACTAAGTAAAGTTTAACTTAATTATGATTAGGTAACTTTTTTAGCCGATTAATTGTTAGAAAACGTCAGCCGAACGTCAGTTACACACCAACACAGCAAGCAGACCTCTATTGGTAAGGAAGTTCTATATGAAGCGCGGTACAAAGTCTACAATGTATAGTCTGCCGTACAGCCGTGTGTACAATAGTAGAAGCAAGCAACATTTTCAAATTTTTATATTAAAAAACACCACATTAAATTATTTTAAGGCTGAAACTCAATAACAAAACAGGGAATTTGGAAAGTTAGAACACAGAAAAAAGTTATAATGTTGATTATCCACCATGTTATGAAGGAAACCAATGAATCACCACCACTGTTCATTTAAAGCATAAAAATCACAGACAGAAGAGTTGACAACTTTTATTAGAAGAAATAGATTATATCTGAGTTCAAAGGAGATAAAGAGTACATACTTATTAAAAGGAATATCATTATATTTCATATTTTTTTTCTTGTGATGACAATAGGTATGCATGCATCACAATTATATGCATGACTAGTACAATAAATAAACATTGCTTAGAAAGATTATTTTAGCATCATTTATTAGGACACATTATATACGGTACAAAAACTATTATGATAGAGTATGGTATGCAACCCTTCCTCTAGCTATCATTTGGTTAGAAAGTGAGTGAAGATTATGGTATCCAAAGAATAGAACTAAGTATGTATATTTATGGCTATTATTTATCACAGATGGGTTACAGGGACTTTCCCTCTCTTTCTATAGAGTATAAGAGTTGTATCTGTTTACAACCAACAGTATGTTTTCCCTACTCTATCTATAAGTTATATATGATGGTGATACATAAATCAGTCAAACAAATGCATATGTATTAGTATCATACTCTATATAATAGAGGTACATCTTTTGTTTATAATCTTACAAAGATTATAAATAAAAGAACTCTGACCTCACCTCTGGCCACATACACAGTCCTAACTCACCTACTACTAACATCTTTCTATGTTCTATGATATGAAGCAATTTGATAAAGTAATTTAATTACATAGTTTATGCATTGTCTCATGGTGTTCTGCTAAGTCTGCCACAGGTACAGGCTCCTTGCACACTGGACATACTCGAATGTTTCGTGCGCAATGTACACTGTGGATGGTGAAGTTCACAGCAGGGATCTCACGTTTACTGTGGACATTACAATGTCATTCGCTATTATGTCATTGACAAGGTTTTTATGTTTGTTATTTATAATTTACACAAACAATAAATTAAATTGAGTATTGTTACCTCATTAAGGATATCACATACTCAGCCGCAACAACATATTTAGTTTTAAATTTCTAAAGTTAAACAATTTAGCCAATTAATGGCTGGTTGCACCAATTATCTTAACAATTTAACATGTAAAAGTACCAGCTAAGAAAATAATGAGTTGTACCATTTGGCAATGGTGAGATGAGGTCCTAACTTTAATTATTATCTATAACCACCCAATCTTCATTAGTCAAAATTATTTTTAATATGTCAAGAAAGTAAGGGGTGCAATGCATTCTACAATCAATGCAAAGACTCAGCTTGACAGTTATTGTGAAATATAACATAAACCTTAACTTTTATTGTTCTTATGGTGTAAATCCAGCCTAAGAATTTCAGAACTAAGTAAAGTATTGCTATCCATTATTTTTTACTCAATTTGTTTCCTTTTCTCCCTTATGGAAAATGTTGTGGTGTAACTGAACAACCACAACAAATACGGAAACAACCTGCCGTTGAGAAAAAGAAAAAGTGGTCTTGATGAATATTTTAAAATAAAATTTTGTTGGATTAACACAGCATTTTTCACATTTTGTAATCAAACAAAACATTAGCAACATATTGACAATTAATTTTTAATGACATAGATCAAAATAAATGTATATACAATAATTATGGCTATACACATAAGTTTATAAAAATTGACGGTGGTATCGCTATAAATTAACTTTTTTACTTAATAAACATATAAATGATTTCTAAGTCTATGTTTTTAAAATTATGGCTTGAATTATACTTTTGCATAAAGTTATTGAGTTCTTAGATGTAAGGTAAGAATATAAATAAAATATAAAGGAAATAAATATAATGCACTATAATTTAGTTTTGTCATCTTAGTTGTTTACAGAATTAAATATAGCTTGAATGGCATAAACAATTAGAAGTCTTGCTTTTATAAACTGAATTGACACCATTATCATTACAAATATTCAATGTACATAATGAATGTTTAATGAACTAGTCAAAATGAAACATTAAAAATAATTTAACCAAATAAAAATTAAGTTACTACTCAAACACACTGAAACAGCTGTCTGTATTGTGCGCTGCTCCAAATAATAATCTATAAATAAACTTCTATCGTGTACCGATAAATATAGAATAAATATTGACAAAACATGTATCGTTTAGAACTTACCAATTTGGACAAATCTTCGTTTCGGACTCATCCATTTTCCAAGGGAATTCTTTAAACTTATTAAAATTATTTCACTGTAACGTAGGATAGGATGTAACAAACTTTTGACCTTCTGAAAACTAGAAGAAAAAATCCCAACTTAGAGTCTAGTTAAGGTATCAAATGTGGTAAATCAATTTCTGTCTTAACTTATCATTGAATGTCTACCCGACACAAAAACTGTTTTATGAAATTAATAGGTATATTGAGTAGTAGTAAAAACCGAAACACTGCCTCTGCCTACTTAGGGATGTAACGATATATCGACACCCATCAACATATCGATATAGAAAAAACCAACATAACGAATGAAATCCTAAGAGTAAATGAATATCAGTCGTCCAAATTTTAACATCAAACGGCATTTTCACATGTGATATTATATTATTAACACCTGTGATTTATTAGTTATTTTGTAACCCAAACTTTTGCTTAGAAATCGTAGTAATTATTATAATAAATTCAAATTTAAAGTGTTATTCCCAATCTAATCGCAAACTAAATATGTGGCAATAAGACATTTTCCCATTGTAACCAGCGAAAGTGATATAGTCAAAATAATCTTTATTCAAATAGACTTCTTAAAAGTACTTTTGAATCATCCAACTTTTTTTAAATATATATTTTTTTTTAATATAAATATATACAAAAATATATTTGCCGTAAAAACGATACTAAATAAAAGTAGGAAACTAGGAAAAAAAATTTGAATGAAATAATAATGTAAAAACTGATTTCAACATTTGGATCATACGCCTACTGCGTCATTCTCTCATCCACTTATTCCAAAATTGTTCGCTTTGTCAGGGACTTAGAGTTTAGAAACTGATTCTCAAAAACTTCCTTATATAGTGATTACCTTCAATAAGTTTTATAGGCCCACGATTCCCTTGGAGAAATTTTATTCTAACCCTCTTTATCAATTAAATATATTATAGATTTCGATTCTCTTATTCCATAAGTGATTCTTATGATTTTATCGATTTGCTTCATCGTAACTGGCACTACTTGGACTACTATGTACACGGATGTTTCTAGCTCCAAAATTGTGGCTCCCAACATTTAAAATAGAGTCAAGTTTCCAGCTTCCTTCATTGTCATCTGTTTTTACTGGAGAGTCTATCGCTATTTTAGAAGTTGTTTTGTATGCAGAATCTCATAATCTAGATAAAGTATTAATATTATCTGATTCACAAACCTGCCTTCATGCTCTTATTGCCAATCTATTTTGATCAATGTCGCGTTTTCCAACCATTCTTAAAATTAGAGAATCTTTGTTAAGATCACAGACATACATATATTCTGATGTAAAAAAGGGTATTCGGCTGGTTATTGCCTGGATACATATTGGATCATCACATAGATTATCACATAGTGGAATCAATGGTAACGAGACTGCAGATTCTTGCGCGAAAGAAGCTATTTTCTTTGGAATTCCCAGTTACCTTGAGAGTCCTCTTCAAAAAAAAAATATTACTTCCACGTTCTTACCTAGTTCAATCATGGACGTTAGATTGGCAATACAGTAGTTTAAAAGCAGGCAAGAGCTCCTTTGAAATACAACCATTTATACCTAGCAGACCACGGTGTTTTGTATTTAAGACATTCCAAAACAAGCGAAATGAAATTGAAATGAAAATGTCTTTATTCAAGTAGGCTATTACAAGTAATTTTGAATCGTCCAATAGTAGTTTCCATCATTTGTCGTCTTCGAATAGGTCATTTTTGTACTCCTGTCTATCTGGCGAAAATAAAAGTTCGGGATAGCTCCCTTTGAAACAAGGTATAGATGGCAGCACAATTTGTAAGATCCAAATGTCAATGAAGAAGTATTGACTGTTGGTCCGAATATCATACATTGGAGGATTTACAGTAGAGAATCAACAATGAAAAGTGCTATGAGCCACTTACACGATCAAGTTGGCAGCGCGGACGGAGGGTAGTCATGTAAGCTTAGTATTAGTGTATGTGTGGATAGCTTACCGACAAGCGTCATACAAACTTGACATCGCATGGCAAAATTAGCGGTAAACTTGATCGTCTATGGGAGTCTCTTAGAAACACTATTCTGCAGGAGTAAACTTTGAAACTAAATAAGAACTAAAAAACCCATACCCTATTCTTACCTTCCACATTAAATACCCGATATGTTATAATAACAAATTTTGGGAATCTGCTAATTTTTGCACCACTATTTTTTTTTCGTTAGTCTATGGAGCATGGTTCATATTTCCTTATTTAAAGTATTTTATTGTTACTTACAATTGAATACTCATAAAAAATCCACCCATAAGTAACAGAACAAATCTTTTTTGATTCTTTCATCACTATGAGGATATGTTGTTATTATGTTAATACTTTGTTTTATTTGACTGATTATTTATTTATGATTTATTTTAGAGATTAAGGCCTACGTGCGGAATAGGCAGAACATTACTGTACCTGTTTACATTACTGTATAATTTAATCGATCAACGAATGTAACTAACAATTCAAGTCTACCGCACTCCGCATGCATGCTATATCGCCAATATGATTACAGGGTTCAACACGATATTATCCATTAATGCATTACATACTAATACTATAATATAGAATGAATATTATACCCTGATTATTGATACGGTTGGTATCATCATGATTTAATAAAAATTTTAATAACAGGCCTTATTGATTTATTTTTAAATAATTACTTTATGTTTCCGACTGAATACCGAAATGTGTACCTGCTTAATTATAACCTATTTATTATTATAAGTATAAGCGTTATTATTATTATAAGGCAGAACTTTTCTAAATAACCGCAATCTATGAGCTATTGTTGAAAAGGTACCGATTTTCAACAATCGCTCATAGATTGCGGTTGAAAATGAAAATTAAAAAAAAAAACGCCAACCGATGTTTTTATTAAGATTAAGATTGGTCTTATTCACGGCCCGTCAACTCCGTACAATAAACCAATCGCGTAGGGGTCCAGTGATGTATGACATTTCCTCACGCCCCTCACCCCTGTCAGTAGATGGAGACATAACACCTGACAGAAACTGTCATTACAACAAAGAGTAAAGTTAGTAATGTTTTAATCAATCTTTAATTCATTTTACATGTTGGAATTAATTTATTCATTTCACATTAGCAAAATTGTGTGAAATGTGCAGATATGCCATTAATAAAAGAAGAAGAAGACTAAAGTATGTACCTACATATCAGGGAATTACAAGTGATTGAGTAAAGTTTCTTTTGTGCTTATCGTCTTCGCTTTATTTGTAATATAAACTCTCCATTTTTCGAAGTATTTTTATTTGTAGAAGATGCCTAAGAAATTGGTGTGTTGTGTTATGGTTGTGTTACACGCATTGTTAAAGTACGAACAGGACGCTATTCTTTATAAGATTCTAGTGAACGAGAAAAGATTCTCCAAGTCGTTACAATGTCTTAGTGCTGTGTGTGATACTGAAAATTTTAATCCAGGTAGAAGTGTCATTTGTAGCAAACACGTTGTACCAAGATTCATCACTCCAAAATCATGACTCTTGGGTGATGCATATCCGTCATTGTTTATTGATGATGGGCTCTCAATCAGCCTACCTTCTTCAAGCAATACTGGTAAGGCTGGTTTAATCTGCTATTACCTTTAGATAATGTAATTAAAATGATATGTATCTTCACTTTATGTTGTGTTTTGGAATACCGTTATTCTTCATTAGATATTTTTATTATTACAGAAATTATATTCATTTGGGAACACAGCTATGCAAGAAAAAGTCATGTTGACCACACATATTAGAAAGTGGAACTGAACAGGTTTGTTTTTAATTTCTTTTATTTAGATAACAAAGTTCATGCTGCAGTTTTGGTGTATTTTAATATAGATTTATGCTTTAAAAAAGTCGAGTAGATCTCTCTTTCTTACACACATAAAGAAAAATTACATTAAGTTACTTAACTCTAGCAGGCACTCTAGAAGTGATTTTGATCAGAGAATAAATTGATAATACAAATAACATATTTCTAATATCATCTAAGATTATATCCTGTTTTTTAATCTTACACACATAATCAATATTGATTTCATAGGTGGTGTAATTTTAAAAGGACAAATTGAGACTTCTGTGTCTGCAGTAAACTCAGTGGTTTACTCAATTAGTTGCTTGCTCTGGAGATTAAAATATGACACAAACTAAATTATCTGGTAAGACCTGTCTCTTTCTTTAGTGTATCTTTATTTCAATCAAAAGTAGTTCTAATAGAGAAATTCACTGAATACTTTTGATGTTACAGACCCTGTGAAATGTACCCAAACAAAAAGGAAAAGGCTTATTACCAAATAAAGCCAATTGTCACCTTTATACCAGAGAATTTATGAAGAATATAACAAGCCAAAGACATAGTTGAACTTCCATAATAAAGTTAAGAATACTTAAATACCTTTAAGTTTTGTAAAAAGTTATCATTTGAAAAGTTCTGACAAAAAATGATCACAGTTGCAAAAAATGATTTTGAAATGCAAGTGAGCATGTGCTCTAAAAATAAACATGAGAGGTGATTCACTACCGAAGAAAAGACAATTGCTTTATCAATATCAAAGCAGAGTCCAATGTGTTATTGATTTTTAAGCAATTTTTTTTATTTTATCATACAAAACTACACTGAATACTATGATTAGAAAATTGATCATAGAACCAGGCTTCATGTAAGAGGTAAATATATTCCATATAAGGTTTTTCATACTACTTTTATAATTTTTTGTATTACTACCAAATAATAATATGTACCTACCTATTTGAATTTACTTTTTCAGGTGGACAAATGAAACTCCAAAAAAATATGCTCCATTATATTTGATGAGATGTCATTAGAAACAGCACTTTCGTATAATAAAAGTAATAAGGATTAAAGATAACATTAATGGATTTGTAGAACACCAAGAAAAGAAAGTGGATTTTACAGATCATGCTCTTGTATTTATGTTGGTGCTGTTTACAAGTGGCAACAGCCTTTATGTTAGTATTTCTGTCAAGGAGTGACATCTACTGTACATCAAGAATATTTTAAAGTTAGCAGTAGAAAAAGTTGTTGAATTGGACCTTAATCCCATCGCAATAATATATGACCAAGGCTCAGCTTTCCAATCAGCACTCAAAAATTTAAAAGAAGACACTTAGTGTGATCAAATTTTAAATTGAAATCACAGGTTGGTACAGAGAATTATATTTATATGAAAGAAAACTAATAGATTTAATGAAAGTAGTGAAGG